TGCTTGACACAATGTATGTATGTATGGATTGTGATAAGAATTGTATGAGCCCCCAATAAAACAATTAAAAAAAAAGAACCCCCCCCAAAATAACAACAAAATGAAAAAGACAGTATAGGGGAATATAGTATTCTAGAAATTAGTATTTATGATGTGTCAATCATGTGGGAAAAGTTTGATTTTAAAAAATGCTGGAAGACATAAAAAAATAATAGAAATAATTATTTCTATGATAGGAATCTGAGCTTTTATTTAATTTCTAAGTTTCTACAATAAACATGCTCATTCCTTTTTTTAAAACATCATTATTTCTTTCACATTCCTTTACTATGATCATGTCAAATGTTGTGCAATTAGTCATTGTGTGTTGGCCAAAAAAGGGAAGAGAGGGAAGAGGAAGCACGTATGGAATTTATTGCTGTAAATCTAATTTGGTTTCCCTTCAGCGCCCAAAGAGAAGACAAGTGCTCACCAAGGCAACCCTGGTTTTCCCAAGCAGCTTCTTGTCTCATTGCTGATATTGCTGTTGCTGGTGGCAATCGCCTTTTTAATTGCTTTCATCAGTAAGTATTCCACTTGAATTGAGGAATTGTCTAATTTCCATGAAAAGAGGGTATCTATTAGATATTGACATTTAACAATGAGCTTATTAAAAATCTGGAGAAGTTTCCTCTGAGAGAGACATAATTATTGGGAGCATACAGGGGACTTTGAGGCTTCATAGTGGTGCGGTGGTTAAAGTGCTTGTTTACTAACTCAAGGTCTGCATTTTGACCCCCGGGGCTCTGTAGGAGAACGAGAGGACGGCCTGCTCTATTGTAATTCTCAGATTGCACACTCTGCGTTAGGGTCACTAGGAGTCAGAAATTATTAGACAGTAATACGTTTGATTTGATTGGGGATTTTTTTTCTTCACCTGCCTTTTGTTATTCTGTTTAAAATTAATGGAGTCCATCCTATTTACGATTTTTAAAACTAATGGGGTGTACTCTATTAAAGAGATTGAAGAACATATGTGTAAACATGTGTGTGTGTTGTTGATTAAATCTTTGAGTACTATCTCTACATTAGACAAAGTACCCATAGAGTTAAAAATTAATCTGTATTACCTTAGTAACATTTATTAAGGCCAACCCTGTTTGAGGACACAAAAGTAGACTTTGGGATGAGCAAGTGGACCAAAGGACACTATCAGGGAGAGTTCCCCATTGAATTTTCATCTGATTATTTTTGCCATGCAGATTATGTAAAGTCTAAAACCCAACTTAGCAAATAGGCAAATTTCTGCATATCTTGACCTGCAAGAATTTGGCTAGTTTTTTCAAGATATAAGGCAAGTGTATATTTGGATAGATTATATTCATGCATGTGGTCATTCAGTAAGCAGTGATGGGCAGCTAGTATGTATGTTAGACATTGTGGTCAACTGGAAAGGCCAGCCAGAGCCCAAAAACCAAACAACCCCTGGGTCTCAAGAACTACAGAGGATGGTGGTAGAGGTAGCCAAATGAACCAGTGGTTACATGTAGTAAGTGCTTATTGGAAGTTAAGTACAGGAGACTTGAATGGGCTTCCCAAATGAACTGACACCTGGACTCAGTGAAGTAGGGAGTGAACAGCAGGTCCTGAAAGGAGCTATGTGGACATGGAGATGTGAAAGAGCATGGCAAATTTGGGGCATGTAAGTATGGATGGAAGGAACATAAGGTGCTAAGTGAGCATCTATGAGATGAAGCTATAGATAAAGGAAATAAGCAAGGTTCAGGTCATGAAGTTCTAAGAATTCAATATTTTCTTTCCTGAACTGATTGTATCAATTATCTTAAATTTTTTTTTTTAGTAAATTACTTTATTGGGGGCTCTTGCAGCTCTTATAACAACCCATACATCAGTTGTATCAAGCATATTTGTACATATGTTGCCATCATCATTTCCAAAACATTTTCTTTATACTTGAGCCCTTGGTATCAGCTCCTCTTATCCCCTTCCTCCCCTCCCCTTCCACCCTCGTGAACCCTTGATAATTTATGAATTATTTTTATTTTCATATTTTACACCATCCGCTGTCTCCCTTCACTCACATTTCTGTTTTCATCCTCCTTGGGGATGGGGGTTGTATGTTGATCACTGTGATAAGTTCCCCTTTTCTCCCCCTTCTCCCCTCCCCCTTCCCCTACCCTTATGGTATCGCTACTCTCATTATTGGTCCTGAGGCATTTATCTGTCCTGGATTTTGTATTTCCAGAACTCTTATCTGAACCAGTTGTACCAGTTATCTTTTGGTGCTTAAAAACCCAATCTGAGTTATCGTGGATGAAAATAGCAACACTTTTAAAATTATGATTCTGTGGGTTGGCAATTAGGGCTAGGCTCCGTTGGGTGGCTGGGCTCACTCCTGCCTATGCAGTCAGATGCCAGTCTGCTAGGCAACTCGGCTTCTGAGGTTGGGTTAGATATTGGCTGCAACAATTAGGCAATGATTCAGCAGGGTAGCCTGGGCTTTTTCACATGGAAACTTTCAGGCTTCCGGGAATGAAAATGTAGGTAAACAAAGTCTCTTGAAACTTGAGACTGGCACATTGTTACTTCTGACACATTCTCCTGGCCAAAGGAAGTCATGAGGTCAGCCCAGTACCAAAGCGTGAAGAAATAAACCTCACGTTTTATAGGAGAAGCTCCAAAATCACATTAAAAATGTGTCTACAGGAAAGGATGGAGAATTGTGGCAATGTACTCCACGTGTTACAGCCATGTAGAGCTATTGAAGAATTTTGAGCAGGAGAGTGACACAATCAAACATGAATGATAAAAATAAACTTTTAGTGGGTGAAGGGAGATGTCAGATAGTGTTAGACATGACAAAATAATAATAATTTATAAATTATCAAAGATTCATGAGAGTGGGGGCAGGGAGGGAGGGGAAAATGAGGAGCTGATACCAAGGGCTCAAGTAGAAAGCAAATGTTTTGAGAATGATGATGGCAACAAATCAAATGTACAAATGTGCTTGACACAATGGATGTATATATGGATTGTGATAAGAGTTGTAAGAGCCCCCAATAAAATGATTTTACATATATGTATGTATATATATATATATATATATATATAAAGTTTTGACCGAACAACATGGATACATGGATAAAACTGGAGACAAAGAGAGAAATTAGAAGGCTAATTTATGAATCCAATTGAGAAAGAGTAAGAGCTTGCGCTAAGGCTAGCAATCGTGAGAGGAAAACAGACCTATTAAAAAAATGATAGCACGGAAGTAGAATCGAGGGAATAGATCTCCTGTGAATCCTTAGTTCTGGGGATAAGGGAAGTGTGACTCTAAGTTTCTGCCTCGGTAAACATACAAACCATGAACTTATCCAGAGGTAGACAGTACAGGATGGGTAGAAGATTTGGGCTGGAAGGCAGAGATTCAGTTTGGGACATGTTTGTATGTGACTGTGGGAACTGCAAATGGACATAGCTAATGGAAGGCATAGTTTTGTGAATTTTCAGAGAGAAGCCTAAGCTTTGGAAGTCCTGTATTGATAGGTAGCACTCGAAGCGTGGTAGGTAATGGTAATGGTAGGTAATCAATGTAGGTAGGTGATAGGTAATGGTAGGTAATCAATGTAGGTAGGTGATAGGTAATGGTAGGTAATGGTAATGGTAGGTAATCGATGTAGGTAGGTAATAGGTAATGGTAGCTAATGGCAGGTAATGGTAAAGGTAATGGTAGGTGATCAGTATAGGTAATAGGTAATGGTAGGCAATAGGCAATGGTAGGCAATGGTCATGGTAATAGTAGGTAATCGATGTAGGTAATAGGTAATGGTAATGGTAGGTGTAATAGTCTAGGTACTTTGGAGAAACAAATCCACAGCAACTCATGTATAAGAGAGAGTTTTATGCAAAGAAAATGTGCATCACGAAAACACCCCAACCCAATGCTGCCCAAGCCCACAAGTCCAACATTAACCCATTGCCAACACCAGTCCACAAAGTCCTTCACCTCACAAAACAGAGGCAATGATGCCGACTGCAGGAGGAAAGCTGAGTCAGTGAACGTGTAAGCATCTCAGCACTGGCAAGGGTCTCCACACGGCTGCTCCAGCACCCAGGGCTGCATTGGGATAGATCCATGCGGCTTCTCCTTGGGGATGTCTTGGAGGAAGTCAATCTTGCAAGCTGAAGCAGGGAACTGCTAAGGCAGCTGCACCCGATACAACCATCACAAAGCAAGAGACCCGAGAACTAGAAAGGCGAGGCTTCACCACCCATTTATCCCTCCGCCTTTCAACCAGCACCACATGTGATTATCGGCCAGGCTGGCACAATTAATTAACTCAGTAGGTAATTGATGTAGGTAGGTAATAGGTAATGGTAGGCAATAGACGATATCATTGAGGGAGAAGATGTAGTTTTAAAAGAGGGATAAAGCTGGAACTCAGGAATTTCAAAGAGGTGAATGGAGGAATACGAGATTTTATCAGGACATAAGGAGCAGCAGCAAGAGTGATTAAAGCAAACGCAGAAAAGAACAGTGTCTCAAGAGATAAAGGGAAGGGAACTAAACCCCAAACAAACGAACCAAAACCTCTCATCTAACATATGCTGACTCATAGCGACCCCACAGGACTGGGTAGAACTGCCTTCGTGAGTTCCCGAGACGGTAACTCCTCAGGCCAGCAGAAAGCCCCGTATTTTCTCCCTCGGAACAGCTGTGGTTTCCTGTTTGCTGACCCTGCAGTTAGCAGTCCAGGCTTAGTCACCACCACATCACCAGGGAGGAACCAGAATCCAGCATTCAGGAAGGTCGAACAGGAACAGAACCAGTAAGTGGGCTTCGGATGCACCCTCTAAGATGCAGGTTCCCAAACGTATCGGACCTTTAAAAACAAAACAAAACAAAACAAAATACAACTTACTCAGCACCCTCTTGGGAATGAAAACCTTTTGTACGATAGCCCACAGTCGAGGTTAACTCGTAGATACCTGTATTTGTAGTGTCCGTGCCTCATTCTAGCGCCAAACAGGGGGCAGCTTTACCCACCTGGGAAACGCTGCCCGAGGGATTACCGACAGACAACTCATTGCAAGGGCAAAGTTAGTGCAGTGGAGGAAGCAGAAGTCAGAATGTGGTGAGTCAAGCAGTAGCTAGAACCCAAAGAGGGATAGAAAGGGGGAAATTAAGTGTCTAGAGAGGATGGCAATTTATTTTTTAATGGGAGAGACCTGAGCCGATGAGTCCTGGACTGGGGAAAACCAAGACATTACGAGGAAAAGGGTTATGTGGCCGGGGCTGTTTCTCCAACCTCATCCAGAATTCCGAGGATTAGCTGACTTGTTGCCCTCAAAGCCCATTGTTGGTACATACTTAAACTGACCTCAGGATGTTTGATTACTTGCCCTTCCCACCCTAAGGTTTAGCTCTTATCTGGATTCTACCCTTAGTGCTGAAATATAATAAAATTGATTCTAACAGAACTGTGATGTGCTTCTTCAGCAATCGATCAACCAGCTATTCCTGAAGGAGTCTCCTGTTCAAACTCAGTGAATTAAGATTATGTTGGTGGTGGAGTAATGAGAATTCTCTTTTCCACAGCCCGGATCTCGCTAGTCAAGTCTTTCTAGATATTCTTCCTCTACATTATGCAAGAAAGTAAAGACCTGACACTACCAGGGAATTGAATGGCCTTTATTCTTTCTTCCAGTTTTCTTTCAAAGGTATTCTCTACTTCTTAAAGAAAAAAAGAAGCCAATAGAAGTGTCGTATAACAAAGTGAGATGTGAGAAAATGAATTCGACGGTGAAAGGTAAAAATTAATACGCTTATAATTTACCTATATATACTCTATAAAAGATCCCAAATCAATATTTCCCATTAGAATTCTAGGTAGCTGATCCAAGAAGTTGAATTGCATGATTATTTTAAGCAATACGTGTAAAAGCATGTAAGAGCTAAAATTCATAATCAAGAAGGAGAGGCTTAATGGGAAAAAGTTTACAATGCTTTAGAATTTATTCAGCCTTCATTTCTTTCTGAAATTTCTGTGCACACTTATCTTTTTCTCACACAACAGTTAAGACACATTCTCACATAAAGATTTGATCTGTATGTGTTTAAGAAAACGTAAAATATACATCAAACTTATCTAGAGGAATAATGAAATTATTTTTATAGGGTTTTACTTCTGGGAATTGGAATTGAAGATGTTAGGAAGAGAGAAGAACTTGCAGTTTTTGTCACTTAGTTTTGTTTGATGGTAATTTTATTATGATGTGAATTAATTTTTTAATAGAGAGGCTTTATGAAAAAAGAGCAGACCTAGCTTTCGGTGTCATTGAAATGGAATTCAAGGAATGATTACCTTATATTTTAGCTTGCCCTTAGGTAAGGGAATGGAATCCTGCTAATTCAAAGCCAATTCAGCCATTTTTTTCAATAAATAGTGGGCAATTTTTTGGAAATGGGGTTTTTTAGCACAACGCTAGCATGAGTACTAGTTCAAAAGCTCCAGTTGTTTCTACATTCTCAAAAACTCCTTTGCATTTATTTTAGGCAGGATGGGAAGAGAAAAGGGAATTCTTTAGAAACTGGAAGTTACTTACAGTCTGGTGGAATGAAGAGCAACAGCTTTTGTGTTCTGTGAATTCTAGGATTCTATAAATTCTAAAGGATTACCAAAGTAATCCTTATTTATCCTCATGTAAATTCTCCTTCCATTGTTGGGTACATCCTTAATACCCATCAATGATTTTTAGCTGTTTCTTAAGAGTAGTAGCTGTTATAAACAGGCAAGATCAACCGCACCACTATGTCAATCATTAAAACCTTTATTAAACAGCTGGGCTGAGAATAGGCTAGTGCCTGAACCCTCTGACCCAGAGCAAATAAATTCCATGATCTCTATGGTCAAAGTAGTGAGCTGGCTGGCTCAAGGGGAGGGACACTCTAGCAGTTACATTTTTATCAGGTTGCTAGGGTAATGGGGTTTGGGGGGAACAGCACAGATGCAGGTACCAATCAAGGTCTTACAAGATAGTGCACATTTCTTGGTAATTGGGCAGGCAGAGTTTGGGGATGTCTCCGAAGAGTCAAAGTCTTTATTTGGACAGCAGAGAGAGGGAGGAGGAGAAGGTGGGCATCTGTCAACAGGGGTTAAAGGTAGCTTGAAACAAAATGGAGTTCCTTATGTCAAGCTGGGTTACTATAGTAGGGTCATGCCGCTTGTACATTTTTCTTTCTTTTAAACAGTTTTATTGACATATACTTCACATCTCATACAATTCAAGAGTCCAATCATATTAAAAAGAGTGTGCAATTGTGTTAGTCTGGGTAGACTTGAGAAACAAATTCACAGACACATATATGTGTATAAGAAAGAGGTTTATATACAAGAGCAATTGAAAATGGAGAAAATGTCCCAGCCCAGTCCAGATCAAGTCTGTAAGTCCAATAATAGCCCATAGGTCTGATACCAATCTATATAGTCCACTTCAGACTCACAAAGCACATGCAATAACGCCAAATGCAGGATGATCAGAGGCCAGTGGGTGGAAAGTCTTTGGGTCCAGTGGCATTGTGAGCATCTCAGTGCTGGCGAGGGGTCTCTATGTGGCTTCTCCGGCTTCAGAGGTCTGCATCAGGGTAGGTCCATGTGGCTTCTCCTCAGGGATGTCTCACAGGAAGTGAGCAGAGAGAGAGAAGTCTTCTGCTTCCAAGAAGGAATACTGGATTTCCCAGTATTTCCCAGAATTCTCAGGAGAAGGCCATGCCCACACAGAGGCCTCATTTGTCAATCCAATTGACAGACTAGACCCTACCCCTTCACTCTTAATCCTCAAATTGACAAATGATTATATAACTACCACGGTTATTATCACCACAATCAGTCTTAGCACATTTTCTTCTTTCTTGTACTCATTGTTATTTGCGCCTCATTTCCCTCTTTTTAAAAAAGTAGTTTGATTGACATATACTTTACATATAATACAGTTTAAGCGCTCAGTTATATTAAAAAGATATTTATAATCATCACCAAAATCAATTTCAGAACATTTTCTTCTCATATACATTGTTGTTAGCTCCCCATTGCTACCCATCCTCCCCTCACATTCCTGCCACTGTCCAGTTACTGTCTCTATAGATCTACCTATCCTGGATTTCATATGAAACCACACAAAACAAAACACAACCATACAAAATCACACAGAGCAAACAAACCAAAAAAAGAAAAAAACCCGAAACCAACAACAATGACTAGACAAAATAGAAGAACCACAAACAAAAAGAAAGCAGAAAATATTGGAACCTGAAACAACTTTAAAATGGATCAAAAGGGAAATCAAATAATAGGGTATTACATTAGAACCTAATTAAATCTGCCATGGTTGACTTTACAGTGCTTTCTGTATGATAGCAAAACTATTCACATCCCTCAACTATGGTCACAGGGGAGTCACCCAGATTTTATCCAGGTGGGGACTGTGCAAATGGAATGTGGGCTTCCATTGCTATCCATCACCTTCTGCAGACCAGGTGTTCACAGTTTAAACACTGATACTGTTCCCTCCATCAGATTTGGGTTTTATTATTTATGATCCTGGTGTGTGTGCTTTTTCCATGTGAAATTAGTTGAAGCCTCACTTAGATGGATGCTTGTTTTGAAGATAAGCCTTTAAGACCCTAAAGTTGATCTTTCTGGTAGTTGGGCACCATCTAGTTCTTCACCACACTTTGCTATAGCACTAATACTTTCAGTGATCTCTTCAAGAGGGTGAGCATCTTTTTGGTTTCTACCCAGTTCTTTCACGTAATTCCTGTGGAAAAAACTTAGTTGTTTTGGAAAGCCCTTAAAAATAATTTGGCATTTCAATAAAATGAGAATTTGTGTTTATATTTTCGATGCTACTTAATGATTTCAGATAGACCCAGAAGGAAAGAATATTTTAGTAGATATTTGTCTTTATACTTGATGATGTGAATTACTCATTATTTCTATTTAAAAGTAATGTTGATGTTCTCTCAAAGTAATTCTTTTGTTGGTATAATTATTATTTTTTTAGCAATGAGTATTTCTCTCCATAATGTATCCTGACATTCTTTATAGCTGTGTAAAATTGTATCTTGGTTTTCCACCTCTAAGTTAAAAAGTAAGGTAGAAGGACCAAAGATTTTTTAACTAAGATTTTCATGGTAAGTGATTTTTGTATTTAATTTTGAGAAATCCTTCATTTTTCTAATCACCAGTGAGTATTTAAAGGAAACACCAGGGCAAGTGGCATGACTATGGCTTCATAGGGGACAAGTAGTTTGCCACTCAATATTTTACCTCAAATTCCCTGTAGTATAAGACAGTATTAATAAAATAAGAAATATAGTGGTTCAAGTACAAAGACTGGCCAAGTAATCTGAGAAAATACTAAACCTTATAAAGACATAAAGAAAATTATAATAATACTTTGTAACTGACTTATAAAGTGGATAGTACAACATATGAGCATTTAAATATGGGCTATTCCAAAAACAATAAACACTTAAAGAAAAATAAAACTACTAGTCTTAATTTTGGGCTATTACAGTCTATACAGATTTTGTTTTTTGTATATAGATTTTTAAATGGTGCATTTTTTTTTAATAGAGTGACTCAAAATTTTTATTCTTCAAAATTGTGGGCTAGAGTATGGAGTTTCTTATTACTTAATTCTTATCACTCACTAAGGTAGACATTTTACTATGTTGGTCAAATTAACTTGAATTTCATCAATTTTTTAAACAAAATCAGTTTTTTGGGGTAATATTTTAAAAAACGTTTGTAAGACTAAATATGAAATTATACCCTATACAGTGCATTATTGCAAACTGGATAGGTATGGGAGGGAGCGTGAGTACACACACACACACACGCGCGCGCGCGCGCGCGCACACAGGTTTGAAAAGGATATTTGTACATGGGTATTTAGTTATGCTGCCAATATATCCATGAATGTGGTGGAGCATAAAGTTATGAACGCTTCTTAGAGCACCCAGAGGGGTTGGGTTTCTTGGCTTAGGGACTCAGGACCATCGTCTGAGGGGACACCAAGTTCAATTGACATAACGTAGTCCACAGAGATAATATTCTGCACTTGGCTTTGGTGAGTAGGGACTGGGGTCTCACTGGCCTCTCTCTAGAGTGACAAAGAGGTGTAATACAGGGGAAGGCGCATGGACACAATTAGTCGACTGGGCGAATGGACCATGTAAACATCAGTCTTGATGACCCTAAGACCAAAAAAACTAGATGGGGTCATTGCCACTGCCAACTGCTCTGAAAAGGATCATATTAAAGGTTCCTGGAGAAAGTGGTAGAAAAATTGGAACTCCATATGATGCTTTCTGTCTAGATAGAGACTCATGGAACCCCTTAGTCACCTTCAGGTCTGGAACTGAACTCACTCCCTGAGTTCAAATTGACTCAGCTTTCAGCCAAATAATAAGTCTATAAGGGCAATAATAATGCTAGTGATGTAAGACATTTTAAAATAGTCAGTGACTTGAGATCAAAATGTGATAGTATTTGCTCAAGGTCAACGTTCTAGAGGGTGAGTCCAGTAGGAGGAATGAAAAGAGGAAATGAAGGGAGAAAGTGGGCTGGGTGATGGTACAGCCAGGGGATTACAATGAATGAGACGAGACATAATGTATATGAATTATGGAGGGTAAAACTGACTATCTGCACTAGCCTTTCATCAACATCGCACAATGA